ATTTATTATACTTTTTGATTGATTGGTAGTATATAACGAACTAAAAATTGTATCAAAATGAAAATCAGTGTCCTGGTAGAAAAATTAGATGATTATTGATCCGAGAGTAATATGAAAAATTGTATGTAGTCAGCAAGTGTAAAATTTTTAAGAAAACATGTCTAGGGAGAAAAGAAAGTGATGGATATAGCTGAGAGCAGTTTTTTTCTCTGTGTTGGGAATCTGTCACAAACAAACTAAAAACATTAATCAGAGATTTTGTATCTTTCTATCAAGTTTGCATATACTATAGTTGGTGATTGCAGTATCAGCTGGCAGTGTTGTGAGAGATTTCAAGATCATGTAACAATAAAAAAAATTAAATATCCTGTATGATCTCTGCGTTAATTATATATTCTTTAATATAACTTATATATCATAAGGTGACATTTATATTTTATATGTGTAAATATCAATTTTAAAAAATAGATTTATAATTTATTTTTACTAAAACTATAAAAAAATTTAATATTATTACTAACATGTCATGTTAATTTATGTTAAATGAATAGTCTATGCATTGAACGGGGAAATGCATTTACAGAGATAGATGGTAGTGAGCAAGTCGTGCGAGCAGGGAAGCTCCAGTTTTTGATGTACATGTTTTTCAGCAACTTTTGAGGTTTGAACAGAACAATTACCTTCATTTCATTTCCAGACCATTACCGATATTTTCGTCGTCAATTTAATGTGTCCATCTTATGAGTTATGTCCATCCCCTCTAAGAAAATACTCGTTCATGACTACAGCGTAAGAATTCAAAATATATTATCCTATTTTATTTTTATACAAAATATTATATTTATTTTAATTTTTATTCATATAATAAATAAACAAAGAGAAGATAGAAAATAAAGTTTAAAAATGATAATTATTTTCACAGTAAATTTTTAAAAATAATTTTATCTTAAAATTATAAAATTATTATTATTTTAAGAAACATAAAATCAACAAAAGAGACTTCTTTTCAAAAATAAAAAGGGTAGCAACTTGTCTGATATTATTCTTCTTATCATTTTTACAAAGCATTTTTAGTTGAGAATAGTTTATTAATTAAGTACTTTTTAAATGCCATGACATACTAATTAAATTATTGTTTACTATTATTGATTTTAATTTCAGTTAATTTTAATTAATATTTTACTTACTCTATTTATTAAGGATAAAAATTAAAACAATATGTATTTTATATTATCTCAGTTTCTATTATTTATTTATAAATTTTTTTAAATGTAAAAATTCAAGACAGTATTAGTTATAATCTTTTGATATTTTTATATATAAATATTAAATTAATAAATATAGTAATTAATTCTTTTTAGTTGACATATTTTATTCTTTTTTTGACAGATAAATAAGGTAGTACTATCTTCGGTGTTTTAACCACTTCACAAAATTAAAAAACAGTACTAACTTCAATAATAACGTTAATATCTTATTTAAAATGCTTTTATAAATTAAGGTTCCAAATAAAAAAAGGCTACAAGATCAAATTAAAATAAAATTGAAATTTAAGGACTGATTTATAAATTTAAGTATATTTTTATTTAAACATATAATTTACCGTTAAAAAAATACGAAAATTGATTTTCAACTATAAAACAACTAAGTCCTTTGTTTTCAAACAAAAAAAAAATCTTGGTGTTTCTTTCAAATTTCTGATGGATAACGTGGTTTTTACAGTGGGTAGACTTGTTTTTTAAGAGAAATATAAATTTTTTTAATCTTTTTTTAGTTAAAATTAATTCTAGAAAATTATATTTTATCAATATTTTAAAAATAATTCTATTTTATCATCTAGATAAAATTAGTCATTTTCAATTCACTTTTAAATCATCAATATAATTAAAAAAAACTAATTATACCAAAGTCCAAAACAAAACAGAGCTAAAAAATTAGAGAGTATACAATATTTTTTTTTCTAAAGTGAAAAAATAAAAATGAGTTAATCGTTCATTTAAATTTAATCATGTTTATAAAATAATTAAATTCAAATTAATGGTGTATAAATTTAATCTTCACTTTAAAAGAGTTAAATCTAAGTAAACGTATATTATTTATAACAGCAGCCTAAGAAAGTAGGAACGAAGATGCAACGTAATGGTGTAAAAATCAGTGATATAATTAATTAACGTGTGGTATCAATCACGAGAAGCAATAAAGAAGCTAGGAATCTAGTTGAATGGGAGATCGCGTCTAATGTTAACTTTTAAATAGATTCACGTTAAAAGATATAATATACGCAGATTCAACGCATTTTAAGGTAAGTGCAGATGGAGATTTTGATGATGCTATCTATGTATTATTCTTTTACTGTCTTAACTCCAATAGCTGGATTCCAATGAAGTACGGATATATGCATAAGTCTCATAATAACATATAGAAGCAGCAACAAACACTGCCATACAAACAATAGAGAGAAAACCTGCAAGTAGTGCAGCTGCGTACAATCTACCTATTACCCTGCTCACTGCTGCAGTGGCCACTGTGACATTATTTTTATTAGGGTTAACAAACGTGCGCATCACGTGACAACCAGACCATGTTCGTACATACATGAACAGATTGTGATGCATGGCTAATTACAGTCAATTTAGTCGTTTAGTTGATTGGAGTGTTATAATTTTTGCTATGGACGTAAAATATGACAATGTGTTGTAGCTGATCAGCAACACTTAATTGACTAATTAATAAACATGATATACGATATGATGGTTTGACTCTTGGGATGTAGGGTGGTTCTGTGAGCGTGGGTTGGCAAAGGAAGGAAAGGACAAAGAAAAGAGTGTGGAGCAGCGAAAAATGGCTGCAAATGTGGCGTGCATGTCTATGAGAAGCTTCCCTCATTGTTAAATCTTCATATCTTGGGTTACTACTACGTTGTCTTGTAATGTCTCACGTGTATCGCTCTTATTTTTTACTTGTTTTTTGAGATTAGGAAAGACCATTTTTGTCTGACATATATGTAAGCCATAACCCCACCCACCTTCGTTTTCGTTTTTGGTCGGCCCTTTTATACCATTAAATCAATTGAAAGTATCATTTTTTATCAACAAATATATCGGACTACATTAAAAATGATAAAAAAAATTATATTAATAATATTCTTTGTCTTGGTTAGATCTTTGACTTTTTTCCCCTCTTCTTTAAAAACATATTCCTTAAACACATCCACCAAATAAAAGAAAGACCTCTCTCCTAAATATAGATACTTACTCAATTTTATATATTTTAAATATTATAAAAAAATTAATCCAATTATTATTAAATTGTAATATTATATTCACGGTCATGTGTATCATATTTTATATTTTTTAAATATTTATAATTATGTTATTAAATAATTGATATTTAATTATATTTTAATAGAGTATTACATATTAAAATAAAATAATGTGATAAATTATATAATTTTATTTAAATGTGAACTTTTATAAATTAATTTGTGATTGTACATTTTATAAATAACATTATATTTTTATAAATCAAAATTAAATTATACGCTTTAATTTTACACAGATTGATTTTAATTTTAAAAAAAATCATATATTTTATTCCTTGTTTTTTAAATACTTATTAGAGGCCCATAAAATTCCTTATTGCTTGTTGAAGGCATGGTTAACACACTTTGATGTGACGGCCCATTTCATACTGTTATCAAGGTTTATGGCAAATTTCTTGTGAGTGTGGTGAGATGAACTCCAAACTGGGCCGCAGATAGGAATTCAAACTGGGCCTCAGATAAATGTTAGCCAGATAACACAGTGGAATGAACTATCAAAATAACAACTTGTGACTTTGGGTTGGGCTAATAATGAAATGTTTTTTTTGTTGTGGCTAATAGTTATTTATTGATCCAACTTTATCCATTTATTAACGCCCATTATTTGCCTATATTAAATGCTATATTTTGATGAATTTTTAGCTTTTAACCTTGTGTCAAAATGGAGTCACAATTGTTTTTTAAAATAATTTTTAACATCTTTCTATATTGAAAACACGTTTAGATAATAGAAAAAAATGACAATTTTGTTTAGTAAGATGTGTTTACTAAATTCTTGATTAGAAATATTTTAAATACAAATAACTTAATCCAAGCATAGTTGTGCATTTTTATGATGATAGCCCGGTCAAATTAATATAGGGTGAGGAATATTGGTGAAGAACAAATTGGCATCAAACCATGTGTATTGATGCACAAAGTTTTACTTTTACTTGTGTTTGTTTATACAAGTTGTGCACATTCTTTATTATAATATAATTTTTGCCAAAAAACTTGATGATACTAGTTAATATGTGCGATTTTACAAGCCTCTTGCATAGATGTAACGAAAAAAGTAGACAAATGTTTCCGTCCCTCACTAATTGGTTGGTTTGTAATGAAAACATATTTTTTTAGAATATTCAAACAATCACACGATAACTCTCTGTATTCTTCAGTGCTCTACTCCATTTTCTTCCATCTCATTGGATATTTTAACAAACTCTCGGGGATGACAGCTTCTCTCTGACATTATCTTATGACTCAATGTAAGTTCCCACAGTAACCTCAAAACTGTATTTAAAGGACAAAATACAAAATATAGGAACACACTTTTCTTTAAGCTGAAATTGAGACATTTTTTTTTCCAGTTTTGGAAAGCAAGCATAACAAACGCTGTTATTATCTAATTTGAGATAACAACGATGATTAGGCCATTAAAAAATGGGTTCATATATAAGAAATTGAATATAAGCCCCAAAATATTTGAATAAATAATAAAGATATAATGACTTTAAGAAAAGAAAACAAGACTAATTGTCGAATTTAATTCTCTAAAAAAATATGCAAAGGCCCAAATAAACTGTGTGAAATTGGGTTTGAGAGTAGTGAGCAGACACAAAAAAGTGGAGAGAGAAAGCGGAAAAGGCACGCTTACGATGGCCCTATTTAAAAAAGTTGGGTTGAAATGAATCATTGCAATTTTCATTTTTCATTTCTCATCATTTCCCTCCAGTTTTTCCAAATGCACGCTTCCCATATCCCTATATTTTTTTAATGGAAAATTTCGACCCAAATTTAATTTAATTTAATATTTGTTTTTATTTTCTCCCCGCTCCACCAGAAACCGGTACCACCATAAAAGCCTGTAACCCGTTCTCATCGAAATTCTCGATTTTCAGAAAAAATAAAAAACCGCAAGGTCACTCCCTCTCTATACTCCAAACTCTGTTTAGGGTTTCACTGTTTCTTCTTGTGACCGCCTTCTCACTCAGGTACTGAATCCGTTTCCTCGTTTCTCTCCGTTCGTTCTGGATAAGGTTGCCATGATTTTACTTTCTGTCTCGGGTTTTAGGGTTTTTCCCCGCTGCCATTGTTGTTCTGTTTTGTTACTCGTAATTCTTTTGAAAGTGGAACAATGTCTAGGTTCATGGATTTCTTCCCTTTAGTTTAACTATAGAAAGTTTTCAATAACGCCCGTGAATGCTCATGGACTACGCTTCTTCCCTCTCCGAACTGGATTTTTGTAATTTCAGTCACCGTTATGTGTATCGTACTTGAGTAATGTTTTAGATTTGTGATATCTCGTGAAGTTCATGGTATTTGCGCCAAGGTCAATGTGTTTTATGGTGATATATTTTTTAGATTTATTAGTTCAAGTTGTTGACTTTCACTAACTGTTGTTTTTTAAAGGGTCTTTGTTAACTTTTGGTGGCCCTTATGACCGAATGTTTCTGCAATATGTCACACCTGTTATTTGATTTTATAGTGTAGTTATTGTTAATGTATGCAATTTTATCTTCTATTGTTTTCTAGTTGTGGTGAAATGTTTTTTCCAGATACCTGTAAAATTGCTGTTATACTTGTTTCCAGGTTGCATTGATATGGATTCTACGGGCCAGGCATACCAGCATCGCCCACTTTCAATCAAATTATGGCCTCCTAGCCAGAGTACTAGGCTAATGCTTGTAGAGCGAATGACCAAGAATCTTACAACTCCGTCCATTTTCTCTAGAAAGTATGGACTGCTTAGCAAAGAAGAAGCCGAGGGGGACGCAAAGCAAATTGAGGATGCAGCTTTTGCTACTGCAACCCAACATTTCGAGAAAGAGCCTGATGGTGATGGGAGTTCTGCTGTGCAAATTTATGCCAAGGAATCAAGTAAGCTTATGTTGGAGGTTTTGAAAAGAGGTCCTAGAGTGAAGGAGGAAGGAGAGTTAATATCTGAGAAGGCTGGTGCAACGGAAACTGTTTTTGACATATCTGGGGGTCGCAGAGACTTTATTAACGGGGAGGAAGCTGCAGAACTTTTGAAACCATTGAGGGGACCAAACTCTTATACTAAGATATGTTTTAGCAATAGAAGTTTTGGCTTGGATGCTGCTCGTGTTGCCGAACCCATCTTATTATCAATTAGGGATCAATTGAAAGAGGTTGATCTATCGGATTTCATTGCTGGAAGGCCAGAAGCAGAAGCTCTTGAAGTGATGACTATATTTTCTTCTGCACTGGAAGGTTGTGTTTTAAGGTATCTGGACTTGTCAAATAATGCCATGGGAGAAAAGGGGGTTAGAGCATTTCGGTCCCTTCTAAAATCGCAAACTAACTTGGAAGAGCTTTATTTGATGAATGATGGTATATCAGAGGAAGCTGCAAAAGCAGTTTCTGAATTGCTTCCTTCCACTGAGAAGCTTAGGGTTCTTCATTTCCATAATAACATGACAGGAGATGAAGGGGCAATTGCTATTGGTGAAATTGTGAAACGTTCCCCAGCTTTGGAAGATTTTCGATGCTCATCCACTAGAGTAGGCTCTGATGGTGGCGTTGCCCTTGCTGAAGCACTTGGGGCTTGTACACATTTGAAGAAGCTTGACTTGCGTGACAACATGTTTGGTGCAGAAGCTGGAGTTGCTCTAAGTAAAGTTATACCTGCATTTGCAGATCTTACTGAGATATACCTCAGTTATTTGAACTTGGAGGATGATGGTGCAGAAGCCCTTGCTAATGCCCTTAAGGAATCTGCACCATCGCTGGAAATTTTGGATATGGCTGGGAATGACATTACTGCAAAAGCTGCTGCTTCTGTGGCAGCCTGTATATCATCAAAACAATTCCTTACAAAGTTAAATTTATCTGAGAATGAACTGAAGGATGAAGGTGCAGTTTTGATCAGCAAGGCACTGGAAGAAGGTCATGGCCAATTAAATGAAGTTGATTTGAGTACAAACTCGATTACATGGTCAGGAGCTAGGCCGTTGGCTGAAGCTGTTGTGCAAAAGCTTGGATTTAAGTTGCTAAACATTAATGCAAACTTCATTTCTAATGAAGGGATTGATGAACTAAAGAATCTGTTTAAAAAATCACCTGATATGCTGGGTCCTTTGGATGAGAACAATCCTGATGGTGAAGACACTGACGAGGAGGCTGAAGAAGATGCTGATCATGATGAATTGGAATCTAAACTGAAGGGTCTTGGGATTTAGGAAGATTCATAGGACTCAAGCATGGAACTTCTGGTTCAGATTAATTTGTAGGCCGATTAATATTTTTGAGTTTCGACAGACATCTTGCAGACACTGTAGTTAGCTTTAATCTATGTATTTTAGCTATTTTATTCCATAACTCAACATTTTTAATGTTTACCAGATAGACGCTGTTAATATGTCTGGCAAAACAAGAATTGGTATTAGCTGTAGAATTTTTGGGCACTGTTGTGCCTTTTGCTGGCAATTTATTTTCTTTGATTGCTGGGTCTCCGCTGTTTCACTCTATATTTTGCGATTGATTCCATACACAGATTATTTGAATGCTTTAGCACTGCATATTTTTATGGTTGTGCCTTGTGTGGGATACAAATACATAAATCAATTGCATAATAAAATTCCAACTTCAAAGCACAGCATTTAAACTGATTAACAAGAAATCTTACAATCTTGTCTGATAATTGTTTTATACATCTTAGATATGAATGGATCACACAGGCACTGGGACTTTCAAGGCCTCTAATATCTTATCATCTAGCTCGAATTTTATTGGCTTCTTATCTCTCCCAATTTTAATGTACTCTTCAAACCGTTCTTTTAGGTCTTCAGGGAGGTTTGTGGTTGAACGCCATCCCAATTTGGTTTTGGCTGCTCTAGGTTCGGCATAGAAGTGCTGCATAACGCGAAGATTAAATTAATTGTTAAGCTAGAATAACCAAGGGTTTTATAATTGAAACTTGAAAGGTGACCATATTTGTGTTATGCATCGGCTTGATAGGACCGAGAATTCGATGGGTTAAGCCAAATCAACTTGATCCGTTTAGTGACGTGTTAAACAAGAGATTCTTAACAGTATCTATTTTTGTTGCAAGAATTGGTTATCGAGTAAATATTTTTTGTACGTAAAAGAATTCACCGTGTCCTGTTAATCAGTTCAATGGTTTGTGTTAAGCAAGACATGCTATAGGTTTGCGATCAGGCTATAGAGTAGATTAGAAGATAAGGTATTAGTAAATACCATGTTGCGGAAAGGGAAAGCTTTCTTTGCATCAATTCCAACAGCCTTTGGATCATAATGCACAATGTTAACTGGGCGCCCCGCAGCTTGAGCACATAATTTAGCCATTCCGTCAAGAGTCACTGCACGGTCACTCACACAGTTGAAAATGCTAAGATTTGCGGCATCTGGGTTCTCCACAGCCAAAGTAAGCATTGAGGATAAGTCCCTAACATGAGCTATGTTAGTGAGTTGCAATCCTGAGCCCGGAATTGGCACAGGTCTGTCCCGTACAATCCCTACAAAAGACAATATATATTTCTTTAGTAGATGTAAATTAGTATAGATCATCAGGAGAAAGAGTAGATCTTCCAAAATCCTCCATATGTATTAAAAGTTTTAAAGTAAAGCTACTTGAAGAGATATTTCCCCTTACTATCAAAAAACCATTCCTCAGTGTCTTTGTTGTTGCCAGACCCTATCATATACTGCGGCCGGAATACTGCCCAACTCTCAAAAGTTTCTTCAATGTATTTCTCCACTCCAACATGGCCAGCATCTGCTTTAACAACATCCTGTTCCACAATATATTCTCATGCCAATTTGCTTAGGCTTATATAAAGGCATAGTGGTTTACAAATGCTAAGGGGGAATATTCAACATACCCCTTCAACATGCGGAGGTTCATCTGTCGGTTTGTAGATTCCAGCACTACTGATGAACAAAAATTGCTTGGCACCTGAACTCTTAGCCCAATCAATCACTGGCCTGCAATGAAGATTGGTATTTTAGGATGTCTGATATTCCTTCTTCTTTTGTTCAAGAAATTTCTATTTCTTTAGCAGAATTCTAACAGTAATTGTATCCTAGCATACAATTAAAATAAACGGTATGGGTGACATGCCAGTGCACAAGAAGGGATTCAAAATCAAGTATTGGACACAAGTGCACAAGAATTAACACAACAAACCTCACAGCCTCTAGATCCTTGCCATTGTTGTCCAAAACCACATCAAACACTTCCCCTCCTACAACACTTCCTACTTCTGCCGGGTTTCCCCACACCGTGCGGCCTCCAGCGCTCACAATTTCCTGAACGTTTTTCAGACCCCTCATGTAATGATTGGAATTCACAATATTCATTCAAGGCAAATAGCTAAATCCAGAAAGGTACACAGACAAAAACAACATGCATGCATTGTTGCGCTTGAAAAAAGACACGTCTTTCAGAACCAGATTGAGATAGAGTTAAAGATCATTAACTGAGAATCTGTTAAAAGGAGGTTTCTTCATCTTGTCTGAGCCTTCTTCACCAACAGTGAGTATGGTGACCGCATGACCAGCACCAAGAAGCTCTTTTGCAAAGTCGAAGCCAATTACAGCATGCCCACCACTGTTGGTATTCACGATGAGTACCTTCTTCTTTTCTGCCGCACTGGCACTGATACTGAAGGCGGCATCAGTATCAAAAACTTTAGTACTTGAGGAAGTGTATGCTAAAAAGGTAGGAGAAATCGATAGAGAGGAGGATGAGGAATGAAGGGAAGAAGAGAAAGAAAGGCGCGAAGATGAAGAATGTGAAAGTGGGAAGAGGTTAGAAGAGGATGCAGAGAAAAGCACAGTTGGTGAGGAAGAAGCAAGTGAGGCCATGGCCGTTAACTTTTCTGCTTTCGCACAGAGAGAGTATCAGAACCAGCAGTTCCAGATAAAGCTAACTTACCTACCTACCTCTTTTCTCGTTACCAACACATATGGTTGGTTTATGAGCACTACATTATCAAAGGGGCCCCACTGATATAAACATAAATAAATTCAACAAATTATCGTAGTTTATTGCTTAATTTAAGAGTTTTTTCTTCATTTTGTCATAATTAAAACCAACACAAAATTTGACAGTGTTATATCGTTAATGGAAAAGTTTTTACACTATTATATAAAATGGTCACTTTCTTAAAATCATTTGACACTAATTTTTTCTATACTGACAATAAATTGATTAGAAATAAATTCTAAAATGAGTATAAAATTAAATAAATTAATTATAAAATTTACGCATGTCTTAAGATCTTTCAAGTGTTATATTCATCGCAAAGGTTGTTGTATTTGGTCTGATGGCTAAAATTAATTAAACTATATATTTTTATCAAATAAAATGAGATAGGGAAATAATAAAAAATAATTTAATTAAATATGAAAATATTTAATAACTTTTAAAATTCAAAAGTGAAGAAACAATATATAGTATGTACACCCAGAACTAACAAGCTTGAACATAGTTAGTAAATGAATCTTTTAAATGTTTAGTTATCATTCGATTGAAAATTAACTTTTGTATATTCGCAATTTAACATAAACATGTATTAACAGTTGACAAGAAATGTTTGAAAGAGTCTATTTGAATTTACAAAAAAAATTATCACCTTTTTATACTTATTTTTTAATATATTTTAATAAATTAGAAAAAATATTTTAAAAATTTATAATTAAAAGACATGAATTTGATACAAAATTAACTATGTAAGAAAATTGTTAACAAGTGTCATCAGAGTATTAATTAAAAAAAATTCTTAAAACAAATAATGTTAAATTCTCCTACTATTTTAGTATACAAATTTTTCTACTTACATAAAAGGGACGCTTCTTTTAAAAAGAGAAAACAAATTCAAAATAATAATATTTTGAAAAAAAACATATTACTTTTTTGTGAGCAGGATAATTTGCAGGCTGAAATAGTAAAAATATTTATTTATTTTTCAGTGAAAAAACATAAAAATACATTTGTTTTCATATATTTCTTTAAACTGTTAGGAAAAGGAAATGATGACCCATTTCAAGACAAGGAAAGTTGTTTGATTCAGAAGTTTTTCAAACAAATTTTTAGAAAAAAAATGTTTATCTATTCTTCATGAATGATCACTTGAAGTTTATTTTCATGATTTTCAATGTACTCCAATATCTTTAAACAATAAAAAAAGAAGCTAAATCCTTTAATATTTTAACATAAATTTTCTTAATTACAGAAAAAACGTGATATATATATATATATATATTAAAAAGTATTAATTAATTTTTTTAACTTTTTTTTATCTTTAAAAGATTTATGTCTTTCTTTTTTTTTTTTTTATAAAAGTAAGATAATTCATAAGATTTAAAATTGATCTTAAACAATATACATAAACAAAAAGAATTAAAAGAGAAAAGATGACGGAAGTTTAACTTACTTGAAGGAGATGATGATTTGATTGGGCTAGAATAGATGATATCTGAGTTGACAAAGAAAGAAAGGATAAAAAAATCTCCTATTTCAGTGACGGAGGGACATTGGTGTCCGATAACGCAATCTCTCTTCTCCTTCTGCATCCCTTGAATCCATGGTACCTTGTTCCGTAACGACCCCTTCTCCACTCCTCGCTGCACCAATCATCCCTCGCTACACATACTTCTCTCCCTCTCCCCTTCTTCGCCGATCTCGTCCTTCTCCCCTCAACTCCATCTCCAATGGCTCCAACCAATTCAACCAACAACTCTTCTCTCCAACTCAACAACCACACTTACAGCCTCGAACGTTGTTCCCCGGCGGCTACAAGAGACCCGAGCTCAAGGTCCCCACTCTCATTCTCCAATTGGATCCCGACGACGTTCTCAGCGGCGGGGACAGCGCCTTCAACTTGATCGACAAGGCCGTGTCCAAGTACGTTGGGATCGTGGTTCTCGCCAGCGACGAAGCTAGTGGTGGCAAACTTTACGAGGCCGCGTGCTTGTTGAAGTCTCTGGTCCAAGACCGCGCGTATTTGTTAGTCGCCGAGCGCGTTGACATTGCCGCCGCCGCTGCCGCTAGTGGAGTTTTGCTCTCTGACCAAGGTTTTTCATTCAAAACGCGTGTTCTCGCTGCGTTTAATGTGAAGTGATGTTAATGCGTTGTTTCTTGCAGGCCTTCCTACTGTTGTAGCTAGGAACACAATGTTGGATTCGAAATCTGAATTGGTGGTTCTTCCTTTGGTTGCTAGGATTGTTCATACTGTAGATGCTGCAGTGAATGCGTCAAAATCTGAAGGTGCTGATTTCCTTATATACGGCGGCGACGATCTGAAACGTGTCCGTAAGGAAGTTGGCTCTGTGCGTGAGAGCGTGAAGATTCCTGTTTTTGTGTCGCGTGGGAAAAATATGTCCTATGCTGAGGCTTCTAGTTTGTTTGCTTCTGGAGCTAGTGGTTTTGTTACTAGTTTGGAGGATTTTGGTTTGTTTGGTGATGAGTTCTTGCGCAAACTGTTTGACAATGGGTATGCGAAGGATAAGAGGATAGCAGATGGCGATGTTGGCGAGGATAAATTGTTGAATGTGGATAATGGTTTTCAGAGTACGACGGATGTTGTGGCTGGATTTGTTAAACTGGAGGATAGGGAGAAACAGTTAATAGAAACAGAGAGATCGGTGTTGAATGAAGCTATAGAAGTTATCAAGAAAGCTGCACCTCTGGTGATCTTTTAATTAAAACATTTGGTATTTGAAGTAATTCTTTTTTTTTTTCGTGATTATGTATTTTGACCAGTATAGTGTTTACTTTGTGTTGAATTTGGATTGGTTTCCAATGACAGATGGAGGAGGTTTCACTTCTGAATGATGCAGTTTCTCAAATTGATGAGCCGTTCTTACTGGTTATAGTGGTAATTGTGTGCTGAATCTCAACAAATTCTGGTTCCTGGAATATACATTGGTATTAGCTCTTAATTTCAAAAAGAAGTCTTTTAATGCATCTAGTTAGAAACTAATTTACTAATACGTGCTATTTGTTGTGAAGTTTTTCTGCTTTTGATTTACCTGGTTACCTCCATATCTAAGCATCCACTAGATTCATTATGTTATAGAAAGAGGTTGGTTCTTTTTTTCTTTACAAACTTCAGATTTAGGAGCTCTGTTGTCCTCAGGAGAGTCTTTTTCATAGAGTTTACAATCACTGTACTTTGTTCTTGTTGTTCTACTTGGAATATGTTTGGTTGGTTGTTTTTCCAGCTCCCCTTCATTGTAATATTTCAATTCTAACTAAGAAGTTAATTGGGTGGAATGCCAAAATCAGCTGCTTTCTTTGTAGACTTTTCATTTTGACTTTGTGAAGATGCTACAAAGTGCTGAAGTTAATTGACATGATATCATGCCTTTATTCTTTTTTGGAATCTTGATGTTATCAGGGGGAATTCAACTCTGGTAAATCTACTGTGATTAATGCGCTTCTTGGAGAAAGATATCTCAAAGAGGGAGTTGTTCCAACAACTAATGAGATCACGTTTTTACGATATACTGACTTAGATATTGAACAACAGCGGTGTGAAAGGCATCCAGATGGTCAATATATTTGCTACCTTCCTGCTCCAATTCTTAAAGAAGTAAGTTAATTTGTTATGGTTCCTCCCTGTCCTTTATGTGTGCCAGACTCAGTTTTTTATATTATACCTTGTATGCACCATTTTCTGTTTGTCATTAGATGTGCTCTCAGCAGTTCTTCGGTTCTCTCAAAAACAGATGACCATTGTCGATACGCCTGGAACTAATGTGATTCTTCAGAGGCAACAACGTCTTACAGAGGAATTTGTTCCCCGTGCAGATTTACTTCTTTTCGTTATTTCTGCTGATCGCCCTTTGACTGGAAGTGAGGTATGGTCAGTCCTTTTGGTGCATGGGGCGAACTTTTGGTTTTATGTGGTATTGGTTATTATTGCAAGGCAGGGTATGACATATTTTATGTTGTTTTTCAGATTGCTTTTCTTCGTTATTCTCAGCAGTGGAAGAAGAAAGCAGTCTTTGTCTTGAACAAAGCTGACATATATCAGAATACTCATGAGGCATGTTATTGTGTTCTAATTTGCTTATTGTAGTACTGATGTTATTTCAAGTTGTTCTTTTGTAGTGAAATTACTGAAGTACGTTTACATTGTATTTTCACAATTCAATGCAGCTTGAGGAAGCAATAACTTTCATTAAGGACAATGTACAGAGATTGCTGAATACTGAAGATGTGTTATTGTATCCTGTATCTGCTCGGTCTGCCCTTGAAGAAAAACTTATGGCTACCTCTAATGTTGGGAAGCCTAATGAAGAATTATCGATCTCTGGTTATCATTATGGTGCCAGCAGCTTCTATGAACTTGAAAAGTTCTTAAATAGCTTTCTAGATGGGTCAACAATCCCAGGAATGGACAGAATGAGGCTCAAACTTGAAACACCTGTTGGAATTGCAGATAGACTAATTTCTTCTTGTGAAACTCTTGTGACACAAGACTACCGATATGCCAAGCAGGATTTGACTGCAGTGAATGATGTTATTAATAGTGTAAATGATTTTGCTTTAAATATGGAAAGTGAGAGTCTTTCTTGGAGGAGACAAACACTATCTTTGGTATGTTATAAAATGTTTATAGTTTTTTAAATTGAATACAAATTGTTTTTCCCTTTATTTGTATTCTTAAACATGCCATGTATACATTATCAGATTGAAACTACAAAATCACGTGTTGTGGAGCTTGTTGAATCTACTGTGCTATTGTCAAATTTCGATATTATTGCTTCATATCTTTTCAAGGGAGAAAAAACTGCAATGCCTACTACGTCAAGAATTCAGAATGACATAATTGGTCCTGCTGAGACAGCAGTTCAGGTTAGATTCTGGCTGTAACCTGTTTAGGATTTTAGTTTTGGTATTGTATTTTTTTACCATTCTAGTTGAGTCAAGAGCAAGTCAATCCAGATTATATTGCAATGATTTTAACTCTTGAATATTAGAATGATTTGATTCATCTATCCATTTTATCTTGGTTTTGATTGGGATAGCCCCAAGAGGGTCAGGACACTAGACATAAAATGACATAAATGCTGGATTAAATGGGTAGTATAATATTTGTATAGTTAACTGGGTATGTTTTACAATTTTTTTTTTCAATTTGTAGAAAATACTTGAAGAATACAAAAATTGGTTACATTCCAAAAATACCCAACAAGGGAGACTATACAAGGAATCTTTTGAAAAACGATGGCCCTCCTTGATTCATGAAAACAGTCAGATGAGTTCTGAGACATACCAGTTGCTAAAGAAAGTGGATCAAGCTGGCAGTCAGGTGATTGAAAATTTTAGCAGCAGTGCGGCTTCAAAGTTATTTGAGCAAGCAGTCCGGGATATGGTAAGTTTGAAATTCTTTGTAAAATAATTTGGAACTGTTTTTTCTTTTGAGCCTATAGTGTTCCCTTGTTTGAGAAAAGTTAAATTTTGGTCCCTCTAGTTTCAATAAATTTTAGGGGAACATATTGATATTTTCACTGGGGGACCATGACCAAACTTATGTGAATCCAGGGACTAAAGATGCAATTAACTTCCCATCCATTTTAAGTAGAAGGTCGAAAAATCCACAATCAAAGCATAATTAATTTTGCTGCTTTTTGAAATATAAAATTGTGCAAGAGCTGAATCAGTTGATATCAATGAGTTTGAAGAATCCCTAGGATATTGGTTTAAGGATAACATTCAGAAAAAAGTTATGGTTAAATGTGGTGTAAAAGCCTCAAAACTACATGAACGATCATATGCATGCCCAAAAGTTGAGGAATAATTATTACCACTTCACGATTTAGTTAGGTTGCTGCTTTGTCTTCTATTTCAGTTATAATCTTGCAATGCCACAAATGATGCCTTCAAGTTGTCCCTAAAATATTTTGTGACATGGCATGGAGGTATATAATAAGTTAATAATGTCTTTTCCTTGTAAACAGTAAGTTGGTGTTCTCTACCAAATTGCTCTATTTAGTCTGAGTTGACCGTATCAACCTATACACTAATATGAATATTGTCTGAACTTTCTTGAGTATTAAATTCAGTCTGATCTAAAATGTTTTCCTTTTATATTAGATTGTAGGGACTGTTGGTCAACTAGGTGTGGCTGGTTTATCTGCTTCGTTGCTGACATCTGTACTACAAACCACGTTGGAAGATCTTCTTGCTCTTGGTATTTGTTCTGCTGGCGGGTAATATACTATGTCCACTTTGAGTTCCTTTATGATTGGTCGGTGTTGCATTTCAAAATATGTGCGGACATTATAATTGATGAGACTTTGATATTAGACCCTTTATAAAAGGAAAACATATTTAAACTGCACTTTTGTGTAAGAAAAAATATTAACAAGGTAGTGCAGTTTGCTTTTATGCCGTGACAGGCACTATTACCGCAACAGGAACTTGAACATCCGTGATTTAATTCAAATATCAGCCTACTCTTACTGAACCTGCTTCAGGATCATTGATCTTAACTTTATATTTATTTGCACTCTATAATTTTTGTCAGGCATAACAATTCACTAAATGATCAGTTTATTACATTTTTTTGTAATATATATATAGTCATTGCAGGTGTTGAAAGCTCGTTTAAAAATTCTTTTTCAATGTCAAACATTTTGTGTACTTGACCATTCCTTGAAATGCATTTTTCAATCGTTTGAAAATTTCGTGTGATGGTTAAAAATAAGTTGAATTGGTTGTGTGATCGGTTGCTGACTTGCTGCTGCTAATTTCTGGGTTGCCATTTTTATTTCAGGTATCTAGCTATATCTACTTTCCCAGCCCGTAGGCAGAGGGTGATAGACAAGGTGAAAAAGAAAGCAGATGCCTTGGCATATGAACTTGAAGAGGCCATGAAGAGGGATTTCACTGAAGCCATAGAAAATTTGGATACCTTCGTGAAAGTCATTAGCAAACCTTACCAAGATGAAGCGCAGAATAGAATTAACAGGATAGTAAAGGTTCAAGAAGAATTATCAAATGTTGAGAAAAAACTAAGAACGCTTCAAATTGAGATTCAAAATCTTCACGTGTCATGACTTCTATGGACTGTCCTATTCCGTTATTGAAACAAAGGAAATCCGTCCTTTTCAACAGCCGTACCATACCGTCTATCTTGGCCTTGCAATTTTGGACAATATCACTAGCAATTCCATTATGCAAGTGGAAAATTGTCAACACGGACTACGGTTCTACCATTTTTTTTTAATTTATAAATTCTCTAGTAACAACCAACTGGATTAAAGGGATGTAATAGTGTATCACCTTTGTTGTTTTCATTTAACCATCTCGTCTTAGAGGGCAGGCACGAATAACCATCAATTTTGTTTCCACATGCATTAGGGATTCCTTTAAAAGAGAAATGCTCCCATGTTCCAAAATTACATAAATTGATGGTGAAATCTGTACAAACTAGACTGATGCTTGATTTCCACCAAACCTCTTGCTTTTTTATTTCTTCATTTTCTAATTTGATATTTATCCAATAAAATGTTGATACTTGGTAGAAGCTCTAACGTTACTGGGTAAAAATTGATTCATAAGAAGAGAATCCGTTGTCTTTCGTCATGAGAAAACCAATATTAAATATACAGATTTGGGCTTTAAGTAAACGGTACACTAACATGGAAGGATGGTAATGAGATCTATGTAGTCAGGGTTCACATTCTACTATAACGTAAACTTATTGATTGGTTTATACAGTCTTCTCAATGTTGGCCGTTTAGAACCGCAAAAGGAGTATCATGCAAGCATATTCCATGGTGAGGGCTTGACCTTTTGGGAGAAAGTTTGTAAGGTCGCATATATTCTTGTCCCCTCATTATGTCCCTACTCATATTTGTTTCCCTTGGGCTCCCCTCATGTTCATTCTTAACTTCTCTGTTTTTCTTGCATTAAATGCTTAATATATATATATAGAGCAACCGGTCAGGAAGACAACGTTAGTATGATGTACCAAAATCAGCAGGGTGTCCTACGCCCTTCTCTTCTTTCCTTAACCGGTTTCAGCATTTATAATTATTAGCTACTTCAACGCAATAAAACTCCTTTATAGACAGCATTGTATTGTATCTGTCCCAAAACTAATCTTGGCACAATATTATTGATGTTTTACGTCATCCTTTGTCTGGCAACTAAAGTTAGATGTTTGCAACGTTAAAAGGAATCGCACAGACAAACAGTCAATTAAACCTGTGCTAATTAAGGTTGTACGCGGAAAAAACTGTGGACGATGTTTTACACTGTTTCCGTCATATGATTGTAAACTGATGTGACTTGACCTCGGTTAAGGTATGTGATTTTGCACTTAATTGTTCTTAGATGCTTGTGGTAATTTGGTAATGTTTGCAATTTGAGAAGCGACACGGACAATATTTTCATATGTGCAGAGCCACTGTTAATTATCTCAATTTCTATAAAAAGTTAAGGAGGAAAACCATTAAGATTAGGTTAATGTTGAGATTAGGTTGTTGATGAGAAGTTCGATAGTTTGGACAATATCAGAAATTCAAACCTTATAATGGAGAAATTATCCAAATCACTATTGCAGTATCAGTACGGAATTTATTTCAAATATTTAGGGTGAGTTCAGTAAAAATTTGAAAATGAATGTAAAAATTATTGGACTTTACTCCCTTTTAAGTGAATGTTGCAATTTGCCAAAATAAAAAATAAAAAAAATAAAAAGAATTATATATTTTTATATCTAGAATTTATCTCTTAATTTTTAACACTATTTTTAAGGATATTTCAAACTTTCGGTTAGGGTGATCAATTATTCACAGTAGGTTGAAAATGAATTGAACTAACACAAAATTAGCTTGAAATCGGACTCATTAATTAGTGCAATGAACTTACTTTTTGAACAAATTAAACTAACTGGTTAAAAATAGCTAAAAATTAAGCTTGTTAATTAAATGAATTGAGCTTGAGAGTTATGAATAATTCAATTTGTTTAGCTCAAGAATTATATGCACAAGAGACACTTTAGTGAGAGAGTTAAAAGAAGTTAATCTTACTAATACAATTACGTGAGAGAACGTATGCGTAGTAGAAGATATTTATATAGCAAATTTTATTTCAACTTCTGATTAATGTAATTTGAGCTTGTACACTAAACCAAATAGTTTGAAAACTTAAACCAAGTTAAACTAGAGAACTGAAAAATGATTCAAACAGAGTCGATTCTTATAGAGTTGAACCGAATTGGGTCATGTGAAGCTTGATTCATTTCCGGTCCTAATTTGCAGTAGCGCAGGATAACATTTGTTTTGTTTTATTCACTGTCACTGCATGCCATTATCTACTGACTCGTCTAATCATCATTAACTTTAATTCCAAGTCATGATACGTGAGACAGTGCACATGTTTTATGTTAGATTGCATAAGCTCCTGCACAAAGTGTAAGAGCCACAGACACAAGTTGCTCTAAGTGGGTGCAATAGGACAAAATTACGTTGAATTTGTGATGCTCTTTGTTGGTTCTGCTCAGAAATATACAACAGTAGAGTTTAGGTAAATGCTAAAAATTATTTTCAAGGTTAAGAAATAAATTGGGTATAATTATTTTTATATATTTTTTTAATGCATGTGTCCCAAAAATACATCTTCTCAAAATAAAGGAGAACACTTATAAGTGTCTCCCCAAGATGTGAAACATCATTTTCCTAAGCAAACCGTACTATTCTTTTTTAAACTCAAAAACTTTCATTTGAAAAACAAAACTTTTCAATGGATACCCCAACTTCAACTCCATGCAACCATAGTCTATAGTTTTATTTCCCATGATTTTTTACCTTAATTTGTTATATAAATCGTAGAGCTAGGAGCATAGGATATATGTGTACTCATATAGGCTAAGTTAAAAATATTCATATCTTTATCAGCATAACATAATCTTACACCTGTCATAGTTTGATTCGCATGCCTGAAGAACGAAATTCCCACCCAAGAATGGTGTTCCCCCCCTCCCCACTTGGGCTTTTCCTTTACTTTATTCTCTGCAATTTAATTTCAAGCTAGTCCTTGAGCTTCTAAAATTTTCAATGAACTAGTGCAATTTTGGGAAATCTGATATCTCGTGCACAATTTACCTTTACAGTTACTCTAAATATGGCAGTTGATTTTAGTAATTTGAAAATTCATTAATTATTATTTTTGAAAAAAATGAAATTACTACTTCATAGAGAGATATTGTAATGGACTTTCGTTGAGTGATTTTTGGCTTGGTAATGGAAAAAATTCTAATAAAGTATCAAGCAGGAGTTTGTCAATTCGATTTCAAATTGAAGTTTTCTTGCAAAATTGTTATTAGCAATAATCAAAATTAGAGATTCAACCTTTGTTAATAATTAGACGCAAGCGAAGTATGTACACAAAATCAAGGGACTTGATCAACAAAAAATTCACCAACGTTATTGAAACATTACTTGAATTAGAAGGTTACTGTTGTGTAACTATATGCAATCAAGCTTAGATACCTGTTTTTCTTTCTTGCTTCCTAACCTGTGGACCGAGTAAAATAAATGTGTCATTTTTTTGTCCTTTTAACCATTTCCTCTCCGCACTATGCAATAAATACCAAATATTGCTCTTCATATATTTCATTTTTGTGCGTAAGAAGTACAATGAAGAGCAATAAAAAGATAAAAAAAAAGAGAAACAATAAAAATTTAATAAACAATGTGATGTCATAAAAAATCAAAAGAAAAATAATATAAAAGAAAAATAAAAATATTGTCTAAGTATAAGAATATTATTGTTGCTATATTAGAAAAAAAGAATATCATTGTTGATAAATAATGAAGTTACAAAGCCAACATGGTAGTGGCCAACTATATATAGACCCACTCCTTACACTTATTTTTCATGTCTATTTCTCACTTCTCGATCTCTTTCTTTCTCTTTTCCGAGGAACCCATCTTCATTTTATTGCTTTAATTTAAGTCCCTCTGTATTCCCCCACAGAACCAAAGCAAATTTTCTCTCCACTGGTTTAACCTAAACTCCTCTGTTTCTCCCCTGCTCTATTCCTTTTTTCCCCTGCCTTTGGACATTTCCATTGTGGATAACACAAAATGTCTTACTCAAGTGTCTGTCAAGGGTTGCAATCAAGTGTTGAACCCCGCCACATCGAATCACGTGTGTTAAAGCTCAAGTTGGCTCCACCAGGGTCTAACACTAACACCACTTCCCCCTCCACAGACCCTGGAACCTGTGAAAAACCCGTCACCAACATTTCTACACAAACTCCAGCGATAAAAAACCATGAACATGGCAACAAAAATTCTGAACCTGGTGGCTGCAACTGGAGCTTTCTTCAAACTCTCTCCAACATTTCTCATTGTAACAAAACTGAGGATGTCTATGTGCACCCTGCTGTTAAGCGTTCCTCTTCAATGCTCAGTGCAAAAAGCTTGGAATTGTGCACTGAAAGTTTAGGTAGCGAAACTGGTAGTAATGCCGGTGATAACAGTGATGACGTGTCTTTGTTTTCACTTGAAAGTAGCCACAGTTTCAGAAACAACAACAACAACACTACAGTTGTTAACAGGAACTCTGAGTCTAAAAGATTGAACCGTGGTAGCACCTTTCCACCACCCTTAACTTCAATGGGAGGGTTACAAGTTAGGTCTCATCGTGAAGATGGTAGGCTAATCTTGGAAGCTGTGACATCATCTTCTCCTCAACCTTATTTTCAAGCAGAACGTGGCAATGGTAGGCTTAGGCTTCGATTGTTTGAGAGTGTGGCATCTTATTATGGTGGTGATGATGAAATAGAAGGTGAAACTTTAAAACAAGAAGCATATGGTGAAGAAGATGGTGTGGTAGAAGAGGAGGTGGAAGAGCATGTTGCATATGGTGAAGATGAGATGGGCATAACAATGTTTGTGAGACCAAGCACGTGCAAGGAAAGTGGGAATAGAGTTATTTTTGGCGACGTCTACTTTGACCATACCCCTGTTTCTCTCTGTCTCTGAGCAGATCTAATTTATTACTGTTGTGTTATCTCTCTCTCTCTCTCTCTTTTTATTTCATTTTCCCATTTTCTTTTTATTTTTATTTTTTTGCTGTTTTAGGATTTCGGCTGTTATGATTGGAAGTTTGGTGCTAGAAATTTCTGAACATCGTAATGGTAGTTATTATAGTTATTAGTTACATTCGACATCGTCCTTCTGTTTTTCCATCATTTGTGGTGCTAGTTTCTATTTTTTTTATTCTTTATTATACCTTTTATGTTTCTAGAATGCTCCGAAAACAATTCCTCAAGAGGAAAAAAAAAACTGATATTCGAACAGACAGAGACACACTACCAAAAAAAAAAGGAAAAGAAAAAGAAAACAAAGGAGAAAAGTTGATCATGATGCACAAGAGGGGTGCTAGAAAAACTATTTTGTAATTATTATAAAAGTATACAAAGTTATTAAATTAAGAATATGATTGACATATTTTGTATTTAATAAGTTAGCTTAATAACTAAAAATGTGTTAGAAAATATATTCCGAGAAACAGTGGCCCTCAAGCCTTAATTTGCAGTACATTGATTAGATATTTTGTTGTGGAACTTGTCGGAAATTCAAATTACATACGTAAGTGAGCAGTCCATTTCCTTCTACTTTTGTATAAGCAGTGTTTATGGTAGGCACTGAGTTAAGATTCAAGCTTCCAATAAATGTCGGCAATGATTTATAATTTTAACAAATTTTTAACTTATTTTAATATCCATCCGTTTTTAGTTATTTGTTATTTTAAGTTAATGTACAAAGTTTTAAAAAATTATTAATCACACCAATTATTATGGCAAGATGTTTTTTTTATTAAAAGACTTAGAGTGTAGTTTTGAATTAATTCAATATTTAGGTGACATGCTAATAAAAGTCACAAATAAATATATTAGAAAAATAAATAATATTCTTAACTTGTAAATCAATTTCCAGAAAAATATTTCAATGTGATTAAAAATTAAATAAATAAATAATAGTCAAATTAGGGTGGACTAGAAGTGGTCATAGTTAAGTCAAACATGTTTTATGTTGTAAATCATAAACTGATCGTATCGTCGAAATATTTATATTAGTTAAAGCAATATGGATTGACTTGAAATCTGGTCAAGGAGAGAAATTTTAATATGGTCTGAGACCATAATGGTTCCAATCAAAGCAGCATTTGACACGTCTCAAATTTGATGATGTATTTCAGATTATACAAAAATTTCTTGATCACAGCAAGTTTGGAGTGAAAAAACTTTCTATAACATGTTTGGATTTATATTTTAATTTTATTTATTTTAATGCAGTAGTTATATAATTTTTGCATTAAATTTAAATATATAATTTTTTGAAAATTAATTTTAAATATAACATTAGATTTGAATTTACAAAGACGCGTTTGAGGATGATTTTTGGTGGTACTCTTTCCCTGAGGAGAAAAGCTAAAACAAGTTGTGGTGTACGGCTTTAGTACCATTGCCGGGTAACTATCAGAAAGGAGGGAGGGACCCAAAAGAGTATCATCCATGTGTTTGCCCCACCACTCCTCATAACATTTTATTATTTGTATTTTATTCAAAGGTATAACATTTAGTATTATAAAACTTGAAAATTTGTTATACATTTATTTAATTTAAATTAAGGATGAATAGATTTTGGTTTTGTTTCTTTACACAAACATATATATACTTTGACTAGAGAAGAGTGAAGTCGAAAAATATGAATAATGTTGTAGAAGAATGATGTTTCACCAAACGAGTTTGGCCCATCTTCTAACAAAGTACTTACGGGGAAAAAGGTTGAAAGAGAATAATGAGGATGATTGGTGGAATTTGAAAAATCAGAAAAACTAGGGAAGATGGTTGGTCAGACATGGGAAGCGATGAGGTTGGGTGTGACATTCCTTAATTGAGGAAGGCAATGGCTAATCGTGGAGTCTGGGCATCCATACGTTAACCTGTTTTGGTGAGAGGGTTTGGATGACAGTGAAACGCAATTTTCAACCATCACATGCATCATTTTGTCCCAAACATCATGTGCTTTAGGAACCTTATTTGTAAGGTATATTGGTCCTTTAAGCACATATTCTCTCACCATATCATGTCACTGCAAGAAAAATCTTGGGGGAAATCAGCATGTCCCTTAATTTTAATGTCACATGGAGGTACTAATGCTAATATCTCCAAAAGATGATTTTAAAAGGGAACGTGACTCCACCCTCCCCCATTTTTTCTTTTTTATTTCCTCCCCTCTTCTTCGATTCGATACTTAATGTCTATGCAAATGCTTCTTATGAGGTTTCATTGTCAATGTCGACCTACATTGTGTACTCAATGGAAAAAATAATTAAACATTTGATTATGCAACACATTTATACGCAGCCTTTTAGCATTTATCAACTATATATAATTCCACTTCATTGCCCCACTAAAAGGGTGTATAAAATGATATTAATAATAGTTGGTTCTGTAAATCAATTTCATTTTTTTTTTAAAATCTTCATAGGTAGATTCAGTGGAATCTTGAGCATGTACGCGGTAAGAGACACGTGGGACTTTTTTTTCACGCGAGAACGATGAGATTCATGCATCGTTGACTGAAAAACAATGGAGGGTTTTGCTCCCCCCGTTGTGGCTTGACTTTTGCCATATCAAAATTTGTCTCCATCAAATCTAGGTTTCAATTTCTGGATGGTTTTTGCGTACATATGTAACTGTTCTAGTGTTTGGGAATCATGTTATATTGTCCTCGTATTTGTACTTGTATCGCTGTTGTCCATAAGGAACCTTAGTTTACTTTAATTAAAAAAAAGAAGATTATGAGAATTTAATAAAATGTGTTATTATTGAATTCTACGATAGCTTATTATTTTTAATAAAAGTTTAGTCTATCGTATATAAAAATTTGATAGTATACAAGTTTGAAATTCACTATTGCATACGTTGTATCAGCTACACATTTCTGTACACTGAGTTGATGGGGATCAGAATAAGATCGCTCCACTTCAGATCCGCCATGCATTTAGGTATTTGCCAAATCCGAAAGGAAAAAGATTCGAATGCTCGATGCATGTCAAACATAGCAGGAAAGAAACATCTTTACTTAACTTGTGTTTGAATGAGTGCATGAAAACTACTTTTTTTTTTCATTTCTTTTGTTGAAAATTGTGTTTGAAATGAAATAACTGATATAAATTAAAAAAATTCTCAAAAACAGATTTAGTGACATAAAAGTGTTTGGTTATTTTAAAAAAGTGTGTAATATCATATTTATATATGGAAATGTAAGATTCTCATAAATCTAAGATTTTGTTCTTAGACTCTGATATTTAAATATCGAAAATACTGAGGTTTGAAATTCCATATGTAGCAAATATTCGGATATATAAGAAAGGTAAAGAAACTCCTAAAAGCATTGACAGATGCCAGGGTGCTGTAATGACGTAGTTGATCCTCTTTGTACGATTCGCTAACACCCAACTTTGCAAAAGATAGATTAAAATCTGAAGGTTCTATGCATGCAAGGAGTTAATTATCAGATATATAGATATATGATATATCAGACTCATTGATTCTGTGTGTACCCAATTATTGTGTTTAATATGTATAGAAGTACTACATATATCATGTTTCATTGATTCCACAACGTTTTCGTTTCTTTAAATTCTTTTTGACTTTGCTAATTAAAGATACAGCAAAATATATTTTGTCTTTTATGAAATTCAAATATTATATTATTTAGTTCATTTTATTTTGTATTATTAAAAATTTTATAATGCATATATTAAATTTATTAATTTATTTTTATTCACAGCCTAATTAATTTTTATTTGTATGTCTTCATTTTTAAAATATTTTACATTTTTAAAAATGTATTAACCCGTAAACTATTTACATCTTGTATGTTTTTATTAACAGGTAAAAAAAATACAGTTTTATTTTTGTTATTAGATGTTAAGATAAACCTTTAAAAATTTAGAACAATAACAAATATTTATTATTATATGAAAGACACGCTGAGCTTATTGAACTTTGATAAATGTTTAGTAAAATATTTACAATAAATTAAATTATAATGCATTTTAAGTTTTCAAAAAAAGTATTATAATGATGAATAATGGTACTCTCATTTACGATTTTTCTCTTATATATATATATATATATATATATATAATATTATACGTATATCATTAAATTATATTATTTTTAAATTTAATAAATTTGAAAATGAGAAAATATTATAATTATTAATAATAAATATTCTATTATTTTAACTAAAATTATAAAAAAATTAAATTAATATTAAATTTGACAAATATAATATATAAATAATTACTTGATATGTTTTAAAAAACCAATATGTAAAAAGCTCTATTTAAAAATAATTTTAAAAATAACAAAGGTTGACACATAAGATCTCAATATGAAGTGCTTTATGGGTTTTTTTTTTGAAAAACTACAAAATAAAAAATATTTAAAAAATAATAATAAAATACAGTATATTGAAAACTGAAAGATTTTACATCTCAATACTTTTTATGTTTCAAACTCTAAATCTATATCAAGAGCTATAAAAACATTCATTATCATTTAACTTATATTTATATAATTTAATTACAATAATTTATCTCTTTTTCACAGCTAAACTTAAATTCTGTATATAATTTTTTGTTTTAAAATAGTTGTTGTATGAAATTTTGGCAGTAGAATTAGAAAAAAATCATGAAATATTATATATATTAAGAAAATATTTTTCCTGTATTATTATTACTCTCTTGCATGCTTTGTTAATTTCACATTAAAATATTATAACAAATTAAAAAATAATTCATATTTTTAAAATTCATAAAATGACAATAAATTGAGAATAAAATGAAATACTTAAATGGTGATGATTTTAAAATGAAAGATACAAATAACAAAAATAAAAAATAAAAAAAATTGAAAGATACATATGCAACAAAGTTAAATTATAACAGGTGCTAAATTTGGTAAAATATATTTTAATAAATTCTTATCAAATTAAAATTTATTAATTCACATATTGATATATGTTGTATTGATATATATTATATTATTACACCGGTCATATATATAAAGTTTTATATAATTTAAATAGTTTTTGGTTTGTAATATAATAATAGCTGTTTATATATATATATATATATATATATATATATTTTAAACAATATAATATATAAAAATAATGAAGTATCAATTAATTTTAAAATTATATAAAATTTTGTAAACTTGTTTTACTTTATAAGAATTCTAAATTTAATAATTAGATTAATAAAATTAATTTTATAAAATATTA